AAAAAAAAAAAAATATAATGATTACAATTGACTGATGTAATAATAAGAGACATTATGTTAGAAATGGTATGTAGTTAAAAATATGTTAGTAGACAAATAGTGAATTAAATTGATTTGATATGTTGAGATAATTGATTGATATTATTTAATGTAAGATCACTGTTCTAAAAATCGGCCTCGGCGACGCTAGGTGGTGCCCGGGCGCCTTCGATTTGCACAAATCGACAGAAAAAATTGGTCAGGCGGGTAGGCGGCCCTAGGCGCTCCTTGGCGGGCTCGGCGGCCAGGCGGTTAGGCGGCGCCTAGGCGAGCATAGGCGGACCTAGGTGCTCCTAGGCGGACTCGACTGTAATTTTTCAGTTTTAGTTTTTAATTTTTTAAATATTAATTACATTATTTTATTCTCATGTTTTCTTTAAAATATATTAATTTTATTATTTGCACTTAGGTGTGTCGATTTATTATAAGTTGAGATAATTTTAATTTGTAGGTAGTTAAAATAAATAAAAAATAAGGTATTTAATATTGATTTCTAGGCCTCGACTAGGTGACGCCTAGGCCCTCTAGGTGCTAGGCGCTGGTCGAGCGTCTAGCGGGCGCCCAACGATTTTTAAAACACTGTGTAAGATTTTAATTGGGCAAGAAGTTCAAAAAATGACATCTTGATGTTCTAAGGCAAGTAAGGAAAATAATAAAGAGAAGAGTCACATTCTCTCTCTTGTTTAGAATTAGATTCTATTAATATGGTGAATCTCTATAATGCATGTTTTTATTTTGTAGGAGATCTTGGATTCCAATGAAGAGGAAGTTGATCGAGACATAATACAACAAGAAGATCTCGACTTACATATATGAAGATCTCGACCTTAGCTGGAATTTTATATAAGGAACAAAATTCACTCCAAAAGGAAGGAACCTTGAAGATATATATCTTGCCTTGGGGAGATTGTATAAATATCCTCTCAAATACTGAATTGAAATTTGCTGCTCATATCGGAGTTTATCATATTTTGTAAGACTTCATGAGTGTTTCGGAGTTTTGTTTTTGAGTTCTTTTGTGAGCATTTTTCCAGTGTTCTTACACTATTGAAAAACTTTATTTTGTTTTTTATTTCTACAAATATTTTTTGTACTTAGAGATTAAGTGCTAGGATAGTTGGGAGGGACTCTTAATAAGCTTGAAGTCCACTAGGTTGTGGCCCGAGAAAATAGTTAATAAGTTTTTGTATAGTGTTTGTTAGACGAGAGTTCGAGTCTTGTAAGATCAAATTGTACTTTGTGCAGGCAAACCAAGCTATTAATGAAAAAGCTCTGAGGGGTAGTCGTCATTCCCCGAAGAGATTTTAAAGTTAATGGCTTCCATTTTTATTTTTGGTGTTCGAACACACATACTCTATTTACTCCCAATATCCTTTTCATTTAATTATGTAATATTGAGAATATTTGAGTTAGATTAAATTTAAGTTGAATTTTGAATTAAAGAGTATACAAAATTATCCAATCATTTAAAACTGATTTTAACATCCCCTAAATTTGTAGCAATTAATTAAGTAAGATGAAGTCATAATTTCGTTCATGTAAACATCAAAGTTCTAATGGAAAATATGAAATTCCACAAAATCCTTTCCCCAAACTAAGACAACTTTGTATCACCCCCTGCAATTGGGTACCTGTCAATACTATCAGCCCATACTCCGTTTTGGGCCTCCCCAACAATGGGCCTGATGCACTCCCAGACCAGGCTAGTGCATTTGGGCCCACTGCCCATGCCCAGTTGCCACACCTTATCACCTTTCTTGACCCTTTCCTTAGCCTCAATATAAGCAAGCTCGTACCACAATGATGAGGAAGATTGGTTACCAAACCTGTGAAGTGTCATCAATGCAGCCTCCATATCTTTCTCCCCGAGCTTCAAACCTTTCCCGATTTCCCTAATCACGGGCTTGCCGGAGGCCGGCAGGCAAAAATGCTGCACGGCCCTCTTGAAATTGGGCACGTAAATTTCGGTCGACTTGTCTATGTATTTTTTCTTGATGATCGAGTACGCGTATAGTAATATTTCGGTGTAGGGTAGGATTTTGGATCCGAGTATGGTGATGTTCGACCGCAGTGTTTCTCCTGCCACCTGCAAGATAGAGTGATAATAACTCGTACCTTTAGTCTTAGTTTCGTGGGCCAAAATATGTACAAAACAAAAGTACGTTAGGTTTATATCTTGATGGGCAAATTCGATCCTACCCATTTGGGCACTGCCCACATGG